CAACCCCCTATCTCTGAGCAACCCACTCTCCCTCAGTGTTGGTAGAGGCAGAAATGTTTTGCAAAAATGGAGAAAGGACTTTTGCCAGTCACTAACTATTTTATTACCAGCTTGTGTGACATAGCACAAACATCTCAGAGTCCTGTTGGATTGGAGAGGCATATAACTCCAGTAAATACATGAAATAAATTTTTCAGCACAGTTGGCTAAAGTTATGCACATATATTTAGAGATGGCTCAGGATTCCTTTTAGCAGGATGCCCATCTTCGAACTGATCTGCAGAAATTTACCCAAGTTTACGCATACAAGAATCTGTTCTTCATAAAATGTACTTTTCATATTCAATGGATCTGTTCATAATAACATGTCTTCATCTGGTAAAAGTTCTGCATGTGACCTAGTATAAACAGAACTAATTTGAAACAGGAGATGTCCTAATCTAATTTTCTTGGAACATCACCTCATGCTGAAAACAAACACTTCCAAAAACCCACATACAATTTCCAAAGAAACAAGGGGAGATGTTTTATATGGTATTATTGCACACAATTTAATTTTGATTTTTTTAAATTTTGAATGTTCACTCCAGATAAGGAACATTTGTACATTAGAATCACAAAGAAAATCAAGAGCACTGAACAATCCAAAATTACAAACCAGCCAGTAATATAGAAACTAATATTCTGAACAAATCTATTCCTCTGGTTTCTCAGAAAATTAGATCATCTCTGCAAAATATTTCTATTTTACCCCATTCTTATATATTTAGAAAGTTTTTATGGAAGTTTTGAAGTTAGTTTGTAATAAACAGGCAGAGGAGGCAGTGATATGTTATTCTTTTCTTTTTCTATTACACTTCTTTCCATTTCTTTGCAGTGTCTCTGATTACATATATTCCTCATTTGAAAAAGGGCCATATGATTTCATAATGAAATCCCTTAGAATAAACCTTTAGAATTTAATCATAACATAGGAAACCAGAACAGTTGAAGACTTTTGAAAGATGGTTATACAGTGAAAGACTGGACACTCAACCTTCCCCGCTACATCCAGTCATGATAGCATTTCAGTTATTTATTTATTTATTGTTCGATTTATATGCCGCCCTTCTCCGGAGACTCAGGGCAGCTTACAATGCATTAAGCAATAGCCTTCATACTTTTGTATATACCTACTTAGTAGGGCTTTTGGCCCCCCCAAGCGGTGTTCTTTTTTATACAAAGTCAGCTTATTGCCCCCACAATCCGGGTCCTCATTTACCTACCTCGGAAGGATGGAAGGCTGAGTCAACCTTGAGCCTGGTGAGATTTTAAATTAAATTTATATGCTGCCCTGAGTCTTCGGAGAGGGGCGGCATATAAATTTAATTAGTTAAATTAAATTAAATTTGAACTCGCAGTAATTGCAGGCAGCTGGCAGCTAAGTGCTACTTAACAGCACTTTAGTCCGCTGCTCCACCAAGGCTTCTTTGAAAAATAGTCCAAAATCAATGCACATTTTTCCATGAGGTTGAATGAGATAATTTGAGAAAAGAACTGAAGGAATATTTGATACAATACAGTAATAAGCCACCAGAGAAGTTTGTAAAATTAACACTGATAATAGTTTTATCTATATGTAGGCTTACTACTCATAGAATTTAGTATTAATCCATTTGTAACCCTCCTGTTGATAAAAGAAGCTCGAGATTGTGATGTCGGCCATCTAGACCAGGGTGGAACAATTCAGACAATGAGAATATAGCTTAACCTCCCAACCTTCCAGAGAGCTAAAGAGATTATATGCAGAGGTGGTATTCAGCCGGTTCAGACCGGTTCGCCCAAACCAGGGGTCAGCAACCTGTGGCTCTGGAGCCGCATGTGGTTCTTTCACCCCTCTGCTACGGCTCTCTGTCACTCAAAATATGTGTCACAACCGCCAATGTGCGACACGTGATTTATTGAGCTTTTCAACCCTGGTAGTCCAACCATGGATAAATTGAAGAAAAGTTTCAGAAGAAAACAGAACGTTTAATTCAACTACATATGCTAGTTTTGTGGCTGCTCAAGAAATAGTCAGGCACGGGAAGGGTTTTGTGGCTCCCGGTGTTTTCTTTTCTGTGGGAAATGGATCCAAATGGCTCTTTGAGTGTTTAAGGTTGCAGACCCCTGGCCCAAACCAGTAGTGGAAATCACGGGTGGGCCTGCCCACCCGCCCTGGCTCTTTGTCATCCTATTTAGGCATGTTTTTGAGGCCAGGCGCATGCGTGGAAGGCACATGCACATTTGCGAACTGGTAGAGAAAGTAAATGAATACCACCCCTGGTTATATGGCGATATGGTGACAATCTTCGCAGAGACAAAAATAACATTTTGGGAGCAGATTGTTAGCTTTTGTTAGGAATGAGAATAGGAGACCCCTGGGAAGCAAATCCCTGCTGAACCTTGGCCATTTTGCATCATATGTTGCTCATAAAATTTTTGTATTAAAAAAGTTTTTATTTTTTATAAACAAACATACAGTTCTTAATCAATCATACAGTATATCATCTGAGTACATCTTTTGTATCTTCTTGTTATTCCGCTATATCTTAATTTTATCATTTCATTTATTGTAACATTCCCCCCAAATTTCTTACTTTTCTATTAATACATTTATCTATCTTTTTATTTTAGTAAAAAAGTTTTTTCAACAACAATTTTATCCGCAACCATCCTTCAATCCCCCCTCCCCCCCCCCCCCCCCGACTTCCCAGAGCAAAAACAGGGTATAACATTTAACAAACATAAGCTAAAATAAACTAATTTACTACAAGATTCAAAACTCCCTCACACTCTTTAACTCCCCTTTTAAAGATTATTCATCAACCTTCCTTTTATAAATTCTCTTATCACATTTCGCATTTGTTACTAAGATCCTTTCCATACTTTCTTATCAATAAGACGTTCTACAAAATACAAGTTTCAACACTTTTTTAAAAAAACTATCCATTAAATTTTAAGTTAACCATTTTAATATTTCAATAAGTTTTAGAAAGCTATCCAATTTTAATTAAGCCTTTTTACTTCAATGAGACAGTAAACTTTTCAGATTTATTACTAAAATCCTCCTCAAAAGAAATTAATCTTCTCTTATCACATTTCACAATTGTTGCTAGGATTGTTGCTCATAAAATTTTTGGATGACACAAAACTGGGGAGGAGGGATTGCTAACACCCCGGAAGACAGACTCCAAATCGTTAAAAGATCTTGATAGAGTTGGACATTCAATTAAATTCAGGAGTGAAAAATGGAAGGCTTAGCACTCTAGAATAACTAGATGCACAGAGGCAAGGTAAGCTGTACTTGGTTTAGCAATAGCACTTCTGAGAGAGATGTGGATATCTTGGTAGACCACTGACTAAGCATGAGCAAGCAACGTGTTGCAGCAGCCAAAGGATTGGCTGCATTAATAAAGTCATGGTGTCATGGTCACAGAGAACTGATAATACCAATCATATCAGATAAGGAGTTTGGAGACTAAATCCTTTGAATAACAATTAAAGGAACTGGGTATATTTCACCTAAAGGAAAGAAAGATATGGAGACTACTTGATAGCAATCTTCTAATACTTTAAGGACTGTGATAGGGTAGAAGGTATAGATTTATTTCCCATAGCATCTGAGGTTAAGAAAAGTCTCAGTGGGTGGGAGCTTCACACAGGGAGATCCAAACTCATAATAAGAAGGAATGGCATGGACCTGAGAACTATTATGCAGTAGAAGAACCTGCCTCCTGGAATTGTGTGTGCTCCATCATTGGGGGTTTTCAAAAAAAGTTTGGAGAGACATTTGCCTGGGATAGTATGTGCAGGGATGGGCTGCTGGGGGTTCTCAGGGGTTCAGGAGAACCTCTAGCTAAGATTCTGTGCAGTTCAGAGAACCCCCAAATCCCACTCCTGGCTGGTCCCACCCACCCCACCCCACCCCTCCCAGGAGTTCCCACGCGGCCTGTTTTGGATGCAGGTAAGTTCAGGGCACGTGCAGAGGCTCGGGGAGGGCAAAAAATGGGCCTACTGGAAATTCGAGAAGGTCTCCAGAGCCTGGGGAGGCCATTTTCGCCCTCCTGGAGGCTCGAAGAAAACTTCTGAAGCCTGGGGAGGGCAAAAACACTCCCCCCTCGCCATGTTGCAGGAGGCTGACTAGGTCACCCCCACCATGGCCATGCCCACCCAGCAACCGGGCAGAGAACTAAAATTTTTGAAGCCTACCCCTGAGTATGCAGATTCCTGTGCAGGGCTTAGACAATGGGATAAAATGCCTGTACCTAGTTGCTCAAATCTTCAAAACAAATGCAGTGTTATTGATTATGAATGAAAGATGGAAGTTTTCAGACTGGCATAAGTGACTAAAATAAACCTCAGCTACAGATAATTTTGAAGGGTTGGCCAAGTTCTTTGGAATCCTGAATTAGAAAATCCAATTAGAACTTACTCATCTGTTAATATACAAGTAGTCCTTGACTTATGACCATTCATTTAATGGTGGTTCAAAAATTATGACAGCCTTGGAAAAAGTGACTTATGACCCATCCTCAAAGTTACGACCATCAAACATGTACCCTGCAGTCATGTGATTGCAATTCAGGCTCTTGGCAATCAGCTCGCATTTATGACGGTTGCAGTATCTTGCAATTATGTAATTGTGATCTGCAATCTTCCCAGCCAGCTTCCAATAAACAAAATCAGTTGGAGAAGCTGGATTCACTTAACAATCATGTGACTTGTTTAATGATTGTGGTAAAAAAATGGTCATAAAATCATGTCAATGACATGATGACGCACTTAATGACTGCATCATTCTAGTTACAATTGTGGTCATAAATCAAGGATTACCTGTAAGCGCATATAAAATGTTTGTCCTGCTATGAAAAATCAAAAACTGCATTTTGCTGTTATCCAAGTCTGTATAAAGGTAAGATCAGTTTTGTAAACTTGCTGATCCATTGACGGATTTGTTTTCTTTCTCTGTCTTTCATAAGGTCAACCCAAATAAAAACGTACTCTTGGGACAATGCACAGGTTATTTTGGTCGGCAATAAATGTGACATGGAAGAGGAACGTGTAATCTCTGCTGACAGAGGCAAACATTTAGCAGAGCAACTTGGTAAGAAAAGCCCTGACAGCAGGGAATTCTACAAACCATTCTGGAGAAGGTTTGCCCATCCTTCTCCATATTTGTCTGGATAGAACTTCTGGAAAGAATTTAGACATGTATAATGTAATGTGCCTAGTCTTGATAGCCAAAGAAAATGAACTGAAAAATATATGACTGTCAAAATAGATCAAACACAGTGGTGGGTTGCTCCCGGTTCTGTCCGGTTCTTGCGAACCGGTAGTAAAAGCAGCGGAAGGCTCCGCCCACCTGCCCGGACAACATAATGAATGAACTGCGCATGCGCAGAAGCTTCTGTGCATGCGCAGAACCGTGCATGTGAGAGAGAGCTAAGCATGCGCTCCCGTTGCGACCCGGTAGTAAAGGTAAATAGAACCCACCCCTGATCAAACAGTATATAACTTCCAATATATGTGAAGTTAGTTATTTGAGATTGGAATGATTCTGACCTTCTATGTCATGCTATGCTGCTATTTTTCAAAAGGAATACAATGTCTAATAAAGATGCCGGATAAAGAGATATTGAATGTCTGAGGCAAACTTCCATATGGTTGGGTGCAGATTATTTGGAGTATTTTCTCCGCCCATAAATAGTTGTCTAGTACTTAATCTTCATCAGAAGAACTTTCCAATGTATCCCATTCAACAAGCAGAGTAGAGGAAGCTGCTCAGTATTCTTCGTGTAATGAAGGATTGATAGCAGAAGTGGCGGAACTTATGTTCTTGTCCTCATTTTTCCCAGTGGATTTTAATTATCATAAATGCCTGAATGCCACCTCTTGTCTCTAATTCTGGCCAATTTCTATTTAACAAAAGAGCTTTGACGTCCATCAGTATTTCCTTGAGAGAAAGGGAGGTTTGAAGACAGTGTCAATCTGCCCACTCCTCAAGAAATTCACCCTAGATTCAGTGAATATGAATAACTTCCATTCTATCTCTACCTCCCCTTCTTGGAAGGGTAAACTGATGTGCCTCCAGTTACTGAGGGATTTGGTGCAGTGGTGGGTTGCTACCAGTTCACACTGGATCAGGCGAACTGGTAGCAATGCAGGAGGCTCCGCCCACCCGCTTGGACGCTTCTGCGCATGCACAAGCTAACCAGTAGGAACAGGATTTGGAACCTAACCCTGCTTTGGTGGCTACAGATGATTTTTTACTACCTAGAATCTAGTTGGAGGTGAAGTGGTGCACATGTATAATATACTATAATATGTACAGGGAGACCTAGTTTAGGGACTGTTTGCATTTACATTAGTGATGAAAAAGTAACTTCATGACCAGTGCATTAGAATCATCTCGGTGAAATGAGTGGCATAGAATTTTGATAAGAAAGAAAGAAATAATAAAGCACAGCTGCAGTTTCACAAGCAATGTGAAAAATAAAGGTCACAAGCTTTAGAGAACTCAAAAACATTCGTACTTAACCCTTGCAATCCTTGTTTTGATCTAATGAAAATATTTATTCCCTATTGGAGAGCCAGTTTGGTGTAGTGGATAAAGCAACAGGCTAGAACTCTGGGAGATTGGGAGTTCTACTCCCACCTTAAAGCATGAAGCCAGCTGGGTGATCGTGGGCCAGTTGCTCTTTCTTAGCCCTAGGAAGCAGGCAATAGTGAACCTGTCTAAAATCTTGCCAAAGAAACTGCAAGGACTAGTCCAGGCAGTCAACAGGAATTAACAAGGCCTTGATGATATCCCCTCATCCTAACTGGGTTTGTGCATAACTTTAGACAGGAAGGAAAATAATGCTCTGAAGTCTGTCTGTGATGTGAATGTAAAAACCTGTCAGTGCCTCTGTACGCTAATCACATCTTTACTCAAGATTATGCAAAGCCAACAGCACAATCCTGGGGGAAGACACAGCTTATATAAAGAGTTGCATAAGTCAATACAGTTCTGAAATCCTTTTTCTCTGTTCAAATCCAGAGCATTGTCCCACCTTCTAATGCAGATTTTGGATTTCGTGATAATATAATCTAGACGAGGGGTCTCCAAACCTAACAACTTTAAGACTTGTGGACTTCAACTCCCAGCAAAGCTGGCTGAGGAATTCTGAGAGTTGAAGTCCATAAATCTTAAAGTTGCCAAGGTTGGGGACCCCTAATCTGGATCATGAGTCTCCAAACTCTGGTCCGTGGACTGGCACCGCTCCACAGCATGCCAAAAACCAGGCTGTGGAAACAAGTGAAGCCCCATCTGAGGGATGCAGGCAGCACACAAACCACATCCCCTCCAGTCCATGGGAAAAAACTCTCTCCCTAGAACCAGTCCCTGGTGCCCAAAAGTTTGGGGGGCTGTTGATCTAAATGCATTCCATGGTTAGCTCTCTACTTTCTCACAAAGATCTGAACTAATCAGAAATTGATGGAGCTGACTTTTATTTCCTAGTCCCATGGGAAACAAAACAATATATCAATCCTTGTTTTAACTAGGAGATATAAGTACCATATTTTTTGGAGAATTAGACGCACCTTTTCCCCCCTAAAAGGGGGTGAAAATTTAGGTGTGTCTTGTACACCAAATGTAGCCCCACCCACCCACTGGCCCCCACCCTTTGGTCTCTGCCTCCTTGTAGCAAGCGGCAAGAAGAAACAGCGCGTTTCAGCTTCAGCACAGCCTAATTAGCACAAGTTGATTGGATTGGCCTCCCGGCTCTCAGCTGTTTTGCTCTCAGCTATTTTGCTCAGGCCTCTGCTGCTTGCTGCAATGAGGTAAATTGCTGGAGCAGATTTTTTTTTCTTGTGCTAATCAAGCTATGCTGAAAACGAAAATGAAAGTAAAGCAGGCGGTTTGCTGTTTGCTGCAACGAGGCAAAATTGCTGGGAGGCAGAGGCAGATTTCTTTTTCTTGTTTTCCTCACCAAAAAAAGTAGGTGCATCTTATAGTCCAGTGCGTCTCATATTCTGAAAAATACGGTAGTTCCTGATTTACAATCACAATTGGGATCAGAATTTTTGGTCATGCTATGTGATCACACCTGATTTTTACAACCATTTTTACGACAGTTGTTAAATGAATTATGACATTAAACCAATCCAGCTTCCCCAATGGGCTTTTTTTTTTTTGCCCAAAAAAAGATCACAGATTGTAATCATGTGACAGCAGAATGCTATAACCAATCATAAATTTGATCTGGTTGCCAAGTGCCTGAATTACAATCGCATGTCTGCAGGGGTGATGTGACAGTGTGCAATGATTGTAAATGCAAATACAGCTGGTAATTCACTGTTTCTGAGTCCCTTATATGTAACTATGGACCCTTGTTGAATGAACCGTCATTAAGCGGAAGACTAGATGTATACTATATTTACCTTTACTGGTTTCCTTAGTCCTTTCAGTTACATTAACGTTTTCAGCTGCAATCTATAAACCTTATTCAAAAGAGAGATGATTAAAGTTTGATGATATCCGTGTTTTGGGTCTCGTTCACTAGGTTTTGAGTTCTTTGAGACAAGTGCCAAGGACAACATCAACGTCAAGCAGACTTTTGAACGACTTGTGGATATCATCTGCGACAAAATGTCTGAAAGTCTGGAGACCGATCCTGCTATTGCTGCTGGTAAACAAAACACGAGATTAAAGGAGACCCCACCACCACAACAGCAACCGACCTGTGGCTGTTAATAACATCATTGTCAACCATGGCAACTCCAGTGTGTTCTTTGGCCAATAGAGTATTTACCTAGGTCTATACGCCTTTATTTATAATGTCTTACTGGTTCATTTCAGAGGAGTATACCTCTTCTTTAATGTCCATTCCTGGTAAAAGATGTATTCAGAGTTACAAATGTGTAAAGAAAGGACTTTCTAATTTCTCTGCATTTGGCCTCAACACTTAGATGGCTGCTTGTCTTCTCTGTGACCTTTCCTTTCTTCCTTCTAAATCTATCGCTGCTTCAGCTGGTGCTGTGACCTCCGTCACAAATTCTGCCTGGTTTTGACTCTTCCATCACCCATTTTCAGTTATTGCTATTTATTCCAGGGCAATGACCAAGTAGTTCAGAAATAGGACTTCTATTATTCAGCATTCTGGATCAAGGTAAAAACTTGCTGAAGTGTAGCAATGCGATTCTGCAAATGCAACCGTAAGTAGTCCTCAACTTATAACCACAATTGCGACCAGAACTTCCATTGCTAAGCGATGCAGTCGTTAAGGGAGTTGTATCTGATTTTATTAACCTTTTTTCCCCACAGTCATTAAGTGTGCCATGTGGTCATTAAGTGAATCTGGCTTCTCCCATTGACTTTGCTTAATGGAAGCCCTCTGGGAAAGTCACAGATGGTGATTAGGTGACTGTGGGAAGCTGCAACCATCATAAATACATGTCAGTTGCCAAGTGCCTGAATTTTGATCATGTGACTGCAAGGACGCTGAGGCAGTTGTAAGCGCAAGGACCAGTTCTGACTTTAAATGGTTGTTAAACAAATGGTCGTAAGTTGAGGACTACCTGTATACTATCTAGATAACTTGCCTGAAGATGAGTGGTTCCATGTGGCAAGGATCTGGCACTTTTAGAGAAATCATATGGTGTCCCTAAATAATTACAAGCATGCCACGCTCTCATTTTCATGGTAAGTGAAGTCTCCTACTCCAAAGCCAAGATACCCAAGTTCAGAAATAGGTTTTGCAAAAACCTGCTGCCTGCTTACTTCTAATTGGATTTTTTTGATCAGCACTGATTTTCTGGCAAGGTCCCATCCATCATTAGACCAGAATTTGTCCATGCAGTCCTTCTAAAACCTCAGATGCTATTCCCAGAGTCCTCCCAAAAATTTCCATCATTTTATGATTCTTAATGTGACTGAATTAGAAAACTATTAAATACCGTACATCTAGGGCAATTTCATTGCTTGCATGTTTATCATTACCATTTTCATTATGATTCAGTTAAAATGATATTAAATATAATGTTTGTTCTTGTTGCCCATTTCTTTGTTCTGGTCCACCAATTCATTGTAATTCACAATAGAATCCAAGGTAAAGTGGACCCATAGCCAAACACTATTGCACAGTGTTTGGCTTATTTAGATCACATTTATGCAACGTTTAATTCAGTTTCATTAAGCAAAACCGATATAGATTCCATACTGATCACATGAAGACAATTGTTAAGACAGATAGACAGATTGGCGGAAGTCTGTATGAAGCAGACAAAACCCTGTTTAAATTGTCAATGTGATTCGGGGAAAATTAATCCAATTTTATTCCAATGCTCAAATCAAATTAAATATGTTTATTCAAGTTGAAATTTAGAAACTATTTGGACAAAACTTCCAAATCATCTGAAAAGATTTAGAGAATTCCAATCTGATTCAATTAGTAGAACTGACTGTTCTGCTTAATTTGGAAAATAAGTTTAATTCAGATGTCCATATGCAAATAATAAGATGTAACAGGGCTTATTTTTCCGCCATAATACCTCTTCTCATTAGAGAAAAGGAGACAGCAAGATTCTATCTGTAGATATCTGGATTCTTATAGCATATAAAGAGACTGCAAAAAAAATATTGTGAGATTTCAGCATTTTTGCATATTATCTCAGGAGATTTGATCTGGGATATTTTTTTAAAAAAAAACATTAAAAATAGGGATTCACACTATCCTATGAAATGCACAATGGTGCCTGACATCTTGAAAGCAGGTGCTGCCCCCTACTTGCACTACGCAAAATACTTTAAGATTTCCAATACAGTTTGCATGTTTGTTTCCATATCAAACACAGACATATAAAATTAAATGCAGTCAATCTTTAAAGGGCTTAGCAAGTTCATTCAAAACAACTCTTCACAAGTACATATAATACCTGGCTGATGAGAAAATGCAAGTAGTAGATACAAATAGCATCAACACATGAGGAGCATAATAGGAGAAAAGTGATTTAGATATCTTTTCATATCAGTTTTTATATGCATGGAATCTATGATCTTTAAATGCATTTTTCAATATTGTCCATATGCCATATACTTGGTCATGAAAGAGTAAATCATTAAACCTTTTAGTTTTCTAAAAGTGCAGCTAAATTTACCAGCATGATGATGCTGAAGATATCTGGTGATCCTGTTGTACAGTGGTAGTCATTTATTAATTGATTAGCCTTACAACCATATCAAAGACTGTCACAGTAGATTGTGCATCTCATGTTTCATTGCCACTGAAGCTCTCCTACAAGTTTGGGTCAGCAGCTCCAACATTTCCCCTTTTTCCTGTATATTGACCATTGCATGGTCCTAAAACATTGTGAGGAGTGCCACTTAGAAACAAGAGTCACCAAGGTAGTAGCTGTGACTATAACATGTCCATGGAAATTTTATGTGTTTCAAGAACACCCTTATAATTTTAATGTGATAGATCTATTCTAAAGGAATATGACAACAGTGGAGACTCATCTATTGAAGAACTGCTTCTCTGATTCCTAAAAAATAGATTCCCTATTTGTCATGGTAAAGTCATTTTTCTGTTCTTATTTCCATTCCATTTTCATTGACATCATCGGGAGCTACTATATAAAAGGTCTTGACTGAATCATTAGCTTTTAGCAATAATTTGACTCTGATTATTTTCTTGCAACTTTTAAGGAGATCATCTGAATTTGGATGGTTTCTGATTACTATTATTACTATTATTATTATTAACAACATTAGTAGCAACAACATATTCAACAATTGCAAAAAAAAATAGACTATATCAAATGATTATGAAATCTCTGGATGAATTTACCAGGGCAATGTGCCAAATATTTTAATTATAGTCCCCTGTGCCAAGATATTTACTACACACTATGTTAATTAGTTCTCTTTCTGGAAGTAGGAAGTAATTTTATTTCAACCTGCATGTTCCATCTTCACCACTGATTTGGGTCAAAAGCCTTCTAATGAGTGGGGCTCCCAAATAAATATTAGATGTTTATCATTCTTCATTATATCATATTTTAAATATGGATTAAATTCCAGGTTGATCAATCAAGAGTAATAAGAGATAAATTAAAAATATAATTAATTGCAAGAAAATAATCTTCCATGTATCTGATTGTTGTTACTACAGAAGGAGAATAAGATTTAAACCAATGTATCCCATGTATAGATGAATTTCTAGAATTTCTGGCCAACATAACTGGATGCATATTATTAGGGGAGGGATATCTATTTTGGCCCTGTTTATTTATATATGTGTGACATATTGTGAGACATATATACACATATAATTACCCTTATTACTAGCCTCTTTCTTTTTCTTTCCCACTTCAAATGGATGCTCAGATAATTAAAATGAGTGCATCTGGGATTAAGCTCCTTAAATGCTAAAAGACTATTACAAAAACATGCAATAAGGAGCATTTGGACATTCAATGTCCATACTTTTTACATAGTTCAGGCAACTCCTACACCACTACTATTGTCTTCTTCTTGCCTCAACTGGCCCAAATGTGTCAGAACATCCTCTGATTTTGGCCTCTCTGGGCCAATTAATATATTTCTTTAGGTAGAAACTAGGTTGTGGAGGAGGAGAGTTTTACTCTAGAACAGGGTTGTCAAACTCAAGGCCCAGGAGCCGGAGGTGGCCCATGGGGTGCTTAGATCTGGCCACTGGGGCTGCCCTGGAAACAGCGAAGGACTGGCCCGCAGTGCCTCTGCCAGTAAAAACGGAGCTCAGGAGGGCTGTCCTCCCGAGCTCTGTTTCGCTGGCAAAGGGTTGCAGGAAGCCATCATAGCTGAAAATGGAGCTTGGGAGCCCGTTTTCTCTCACAGAGCACTCAGGCCACCACATGCACCCCCGACACGAGTGACGTCAAGCTGGCCATACCCATCCTGGCCACGCCCACTCTGTGCCCCCCGAGGTCAAACACAATCCTGATGCAACCCTCAATGCAGGGGTGAAATTCACTTATCTTCACTACCGTTTCACAAATGTGCACGTGCCATCATCTGCGCATGTGCAAAGCCTTCTGCGCATGCACAGAGGCTTAAAATCATTGCAAAAATGATTTTTTGCATAATGACATCCGCGCAGGTGGGTGGAGCCTCCCGCAGCCGCCGCTACCAGTTCACCCGAGCTGGATAGAACCGGCTGAATTTCATCCCTGCCTCAATGAAATCGAGTATGACACCCCTGCTCTAGAATAAGCGCAAAAATCTAATCAAAATCAAAACCTAAGAAAAGGGGAGGGAAAATTAATTTTTTTTCCCCACTGTGGTCCTGATTTGATCACCAGTTTCTGCAATTTATATAGCCAAGTGACAACTTTGGGCCAGGATAAACTGCAGCACAGAGGCTGGTTCAGACTAGAATGTAGAAATTAGCTATTTTTAAAAAACTGAATGTAGGTTAGACTCGATGAGAGTGGTAAATATGTGTGTAGGTTGCGCCACTTCAGCCTGTAGGTGGAGGCTTTTATATGCATGATATTTACAATTTTTTCCTAATATACATAATCTGGTATGCAACTTAAATTAAAATTTCCTCTATCATTAGTTGAAACAATAGGAATGAGTTGGCTGTTGTTGTTCCATGATTCCTACTGAACAACTTTCTCTAGATAGAATCTTTCAAATGCACCAAAATCATTTAAGAATATATACAACAAGATTACAAAAATCAAACCGAAGTTTAGAAAACCGGATAGTAACCAATATTTTGCTTCTTTATTGTTACAGAACTGAGGTGGAGATTGAGTGAGCAAAAAAGAGGAGGAAATGGGGAAACCAATATTAATCAAGAAATTTAATTAGGAAAATTGCAGTAAATCACATTCTTAAGTGTTTTGCTCCCTGCAGGAGAGCAAAAGATTTCTTCATAAAATATCCTTCAGATGTGCGAGTCAAACACTTATAGTATATTATACATAAACACATAATGCAAACAGAATCTATCAACGGTCTTACATATCTTATCAATAAATTGATAATTTGGGATTTAAACTCACTTTATGAAATTATGAATGTGCTTTGTCCTTTTGCGTGCCATTAATTCAAGATAGCACATAAACAAAAAGCAAAAACAAAAACAAAAAACCTATATATAAAACTGTTTGCTTGATGTCCAAAATGCAGAATAGCTTGGTCTGTCCTTTCTGTCAAAATGTTTCCTTACTCTTAGCTGCAATGTATGTGACTGTTAATGGAACCATTTATACTTTCGTACTTATACAGAGGGCTTTTCCAAATGATTAATAATGCAATGGAACTTATTTTCTGCAGGATTAATTATCTATGTTGGTAAAGTGCTTTCTAGCCGGGATTGTATATTTCCCTGACATTCAAGAAACTACTGTTCCTGGAAAACTGAGATTCTTTTTCCAATGTTATAGTGCTACCTGAATTACAAAGATATATTGTATATACCATAGATTCCTATATGATCGCACTAATGATATCACAAAAGAAGAGTGGCACAGGTAACTTACTGCTCTGGGTGGTAAGTCTGATTGGTCCATTGCTAAGGTAAGAAGGAGGGAGCTTTCAGAGGAGCTAGAAATGTTTAAACTCTTCTCACTGCAAATATTTAGATCTTGCTAGGAAAGCCCTTCACGGACTTTGCCTTGCCACTCTGAAATCATTTTCACTTCATGTAGCTAATCCTTATTTGGGAAGACCTGAGCATGCTTTCACCTTTCTTTAATACTCTCCTCCATTTTAAGTGAAATGGTTTTGCATTATTGTGAACTTCATTAGCCTTCAATACACTGCATGGTGCAGCCTCCCTTGACCCAACACCTTTCAGAGATGTTTGATTACAGCTCCCATTCACCAGCAAGCAAGCATGCTGGCTGGAGAATTATGGATATTTTAGCCCAGTGCCAGTAAGAGGCATCTGGTCAGGGATGACTGACATGGAACACTACCTGAATAGCTAGATCTACAGTATGTGGCCTTTCCAGAGCTTGAGTCTGAAAGATTCAATTTTTCTTTCTGGTCAGCTCAGCTCTGATACATCCAGCTGTACTGCCTGCACCTTACTTAATTTTAAGAATGAAGTGCTGTGGTGCACTATGTTCACTGGAGTTTGCTCCTAACTTGCAACCTTCTTGGAATGTCATGGTTTCTAAGAAATGTAACCGTGGTGCAAGATTCATGTCCGTTGATGTCCGTTTTTTGTCAATCATAGTTATTAGAGCTAGCTTTCAATGTAGATCGAAGTTTTGTTTTTCCTGTCAAGCACCAATATATTTTCATTTGAATATGGATCAAATGATGTAATTGCTTCTGTGATGGCAAAATCTACATATATCCCCACCCAAATTGTGCTAGAGACATCCAGTAAAACCTGGACTGAACTCTGAATTATCCTATATGGACCCATGTTGAACTGTCCTCAGCTTGAACTTTTGTCTGTTGAAGTTGAAGTTGTCCGTGGCAACTATGAATGTTGATTTTGTCAAACCAGTGCTATTATGGAATGACAAGACCCCCGAGGGTCTTTTTGTAGATTTTGCTTGTTTTTGATATGGGCAGATTCTCATATATTTGTATGTATATTAGAAAGGCCAAAAACATTCACATCTCAGGTAGCTTTGGTTACTCATAAAACATACATTCATTCAATTAATAAGTTACTAAAAAGTTTAGAGCAGGGGTGGGCATTGGGCCATATATGCCCCTCCAAATGTTGAACCCCAACCTCCAATCAGACCTGTCTAACTTAGATAATGATAAGACATACCGGAAGTCACAGGAATATGGCCAATCTTGGATCTGTAGCCAATGGAACACTGTTTCCCAAATACAGCAAATAGCTTTGTGCTAACAGCTTTGGGAATCAGAAATACTATGCTGAATACCAGCATTACAATTCCCATAATTATAGCTGGCCAATGTTTATTTATTTCATGTAAAAGGTCAGTCATATTTCATACCCATCCCCCACCTCCCACAGTCAAGTAGGGTTTTGTTTTGTTTTTTTAGTTTTACATTTGAAAGACTTGAATTCAAAGTGCTCAATTCAGGTTAAGAGAACTTCGTTTTTATCACTGTTAAAAGCTTATTTACTGTATGTAAATGCTCAAATCTCACCTTACCAAATATATCTTATTTCTCATGGCAACTCATTTCCCTTCTCAGTTTAGTGGTGACAATCTCTGTACAGTTCCAGTTCCCCTCCTTTTTCTTCTCCTCTCCTCTTTGTCTCTTCTGCTATGTGGAACTTGCCAAGAAATTCATCTCGTCACTAGCAAGTGCCTCTAGTAATTTCCCAACCTGTACAATCTATATTTACAGTGGCAGCAGATGGCAGGCTCCTGAATACAGGATCCACTTGGCATTTTAAAGGAGAGACTGACCTTAACTTTTTGACCACCTAATCTCTCTTTCCAAACACATGAAACTGATACTAGGATTTGCTCACCACCTAACCATGATGAATTGGCAGGAATGGGGAATCCTGACACGTACCTTGCAAACTAGTGTTAAATAGAACCTGTGCTGTGATTCCTGTTCAACATATCGTGAATAACGTCAGCTAATGTGTTGTGACTCAGTTGGACTGTCGGAATGTATATACTCTTTAATAGTGTTTGTGTAACTGAAATATCTTAAATGTTGCATGAAGATGTTACTTAAAAATAGATTTCTTTTCTATTTTTGAACACCTCAAATCTGAGGGATCTTGGGCCAATCAGTGCAATATTTAACGACCTACTCAGTGTATATAAACTTGTGTGGAAGAGAGAGTTGTGTTGAATGTGTGAGATGCCTCCACTTGTTGGCTGATGATTGTGTGGCTTATTTCAACAATTTCTATTAGCTGTCAAGTGTCTGATAGTCATGTGTATATCATACAAATGCTATTAATAGTGTTGTGCAAAAATATTCTATTCCTAATTCTGTTAAATTATTTTTCTTATATGAGATGATTATATAAATATATATACACCCACACACACATATAAAAATGTCCATGTTTCCTTCTTTGCAAGTGCATGTTAATTTTACTTCTAGAACTATCTAAAAAAAAGATTGTGCTAAAAATAAAAAGAGTGAAGAACATTTTTAGTTGAACCAGCTCAAATGTTTCTCCATCAGTTTGTGGAGCGCTTATGGGTTTCAAATGAAGTTTCAAGTACATTTCTTCAGAAAAATTGTTAATATTGTTATATATAAAATCTTCTAGCTTATCCCAATTGAAAAAATGTTTTTAGCTCTTACTCTACACCTTACTTCAACTACATATTTTCTTAAAATGTAAATTTCCAGAATTCTCACCAATATTTGCATTGAATTTTTGGATGTGAAATCCGCACTTTTGAAGAATGCTTGCATTGGGTAAAGCTACTCTAAAATACCATTATGTTAGGTCACATTCTATTGGATTAAAAATTATCTTCAAATGAAGACTATTAAGTAAGATGCCACTTGGCCTGACACTAGACAACGAACAGGATGGAACTTTTGGCTGGGGAATTCTGGGTGTTGCAGTCCACCAATGGTGGGATTCAAATAATTTAACAACCAGTTTTCTGCCCTATGCTGGGTAGGCGTGGTTGGGTGGTCATGTGACTGGGTGGGCTTGGCTAACTTGACATCATTCATCACACCCAGCCCCGCCTCTTGGCCATTCTCCCTTTCCCCATGCCTTGGGCCTACACAACACCTCCAGAAATGAAAGGGTTAACCAACCCTCAGTTTCCGGGTGCAAATGCCCCCCACCCCCATTGAAAGGATGGGGAGAGACCAGCAAAACATTCTGCTCCCATCACCAAGGAAAGTAAGACATTAGAGGCTGAGCTTATTAAAAAGCACTATATTGTGTCATAAATCCCATTGACTCCTCAGAAGCAATTTACAATTAAAGCCCATTTGCACCCCAAAAATAATAAATAAATTGCAAAAGGAGAAGAATTGACAATACTTCTGTGCAGGCAATTCTGAAAGGACTAAGCTAAAGCTGTATTAACCCCTTCCTTCCTTCCTTCCTTCCTTCCTTCCTTCCTTCCTTCCTTCCTTCCTTCCTTCCTTCTTCCCTCCTTCCTTCTCCTTCTTCCCATCTCTGTCCTTCCTTCCTTCCTTTCTTTCTTCCTTCCTTCCTTCTTCCCCTTCTTCCTTCTCCTTCTTCCCATCTCTGTCCTTCCTTCCTTCCTTCCTTCCTTCCTTCCTTCCTTCCTTCCTTCTTCCCCTCCTTCCTTCTCCTTCTTCCCATCTCTGTCCTTCCTTCCTTCCTTCCTTCCTTCCTTCCTTCCTTGGCCTGTTTTCTGGGCCATTTTGGGGCGTTTTTCAGGCATTTTTCAGGCTATTTTGGGGCCATTTTTCTGGAAAATGGCTGGGAAAACGGCCTGAAAACAGCTAGAAAATGGCCCCCAAAACACCCCAAAAATGGCCATTTTCAGCCCATTTTTCAACCGGTTGAATCTCACCTCTGTAGTCCACACATCTTGAAAGTGCCAAGGTTGAGAAACACTGCTCTAATTCTTAAAACGTATTCTAGAAACATGGAACTATTCCAAATATATATGTATGTTAGATAACCTGGCAAATGCATCTTATATGTGTTACAAGCCTATGTCCCTTCAAAAAACTTAGATCTTTCACTATACAGATATTGAAAACACAGTTCTGTGTTGTAATACAGTCTGAGATAGATTTACTCAGAAATAAGCTTCAGTAATTTTACTGGTAAGTAGATGGACTTATTTAACTTACAGACCAAACAGGAGCAAATCTGAGCAACTTTATCCAACAGATGCCAAGCATATTCCTCACAGCAGCCCTGCAAGTAAATTTCCAAATCATACTCGGAAGAGCCAAGTTACCTTGAACAGGATAGCCAGATGACTATCCTCTGATGCAATACTGATTTCACCACCCTTACTGCCACAAGATAGGCCTTAATAGCAACTATTGCTCATACTGGTTTGGGTTTCTCTTTGCTATCCTCCTTTGATGCTCTAGGTGTCCCTTCAACTATTGTATATCCCTCAGCTCCTTCATAAAACAAGAGAAGTTTGGGATCCATGGGAAAAGAGGTTGTGTGAGTATGGGCGTGATCTAATCCAGGAGTCAGCAACCTGCAGCTCCGGAGCCACATGTGGCTCTTTCATCCCTCTGCTGTGGCTCCCTGTCACTCAAAATATGTGTCACAATTGCCAATGTGCAACACCCACCGGCACGCGATTTATTGAGCTCTTTAACCCCTGGTAGGCCAATCATGGATAAATCCAAGAAAAGAAAAGTTTCAGAAGAAAACAAAATGTTTAATTCAACTACATATACTAGTTTTGTGGGTGATTAAGAAATTTTGCTTTAACATTTTAATTCAAAGTACATTAAACCAAATACTGGGTCCTTGGGCTAATTTTCATGAGACATTAGCAGAACCAACAAGATATAAGGAACCATTTCATTAAAATGGCAGGGCTTTTTTGCCATGTTTGTGTGATAGCCTGAAAAAAGGTGGAGCTGTCTTAGGGAGCAGAGGACAGGTGCTGTGCTTGCACAAAGTAAAAGCAAGTCTTTCAAAACCTTTCTGAAGCATGCACAATCAAGACAGTTCTGATTCTTTTTTACTTTTTTACTTTTACTTTTACTTTTTTACTTTTACTTCTTTATTCTTTTTACTTCTTTATTCTTTTTCGTCGGGCCCTGAAAAACTATTTATTTCAACTAGCTGGGCTGGCTTGAGTTAAATTTTAAATTGATTTTAAATTGGGTTGTTTTAATTTACGGCCAAAATATTTAATTATTTTAAACTGCTTTTAAATTTTGTATGTTTTGTTATTTACTTTGGCTGTTCACCACCCTGAGTCCTATTGGAGAAGGGCGGCATAGAAATGGAAACAAATAAATAAATAAATAAATAAATAAATAAATAAAATAAATACTTGTGATCAATTTAAGATTGAAAAATCTAACAACTGTTTCATGTAAAAAAATGGACTGTCCTCAATTCATTTGCAGAAAAAAGGGAAGCGTCTTCCCTGTTTTAAAATGAAAACACATTGTGCACTACTAGACAATGGCTATGGTGGTGCAGTGGTTAGAATGCCATATAGCAGGCTAATTCTGCTGACTGCCAACTGCCGGCAGTTCGATCCTGACCAACTCAAGGTTGATTCAGCCTTCCATCCTTCCGAGGTCAGTAAAATAAGAACCCAGATTGTTGGGGGCAATATGCTGACTCTGTAAACTCATATTAGAGATGTCCGTAAAACACTATGAAGTGATATATAAGTCTATGTGCTATTGCTATTGCTATGGCTGCTGCAGGGGGATAACAAAACTGTTTTCTTAAGATTGGAGAGCAGTTTCCCTCGGAGCCTAAATAGTGTAACCCAATTCATAATGGTATCAAGATAAAGAATATGAAGACACAATAGAGTAGACAATAGGAAACTGTTTTTGTTCATGAAATAAAGTACCTCCATCCTATTCATGAGCCAGAATTACTTAGCAGCAGACATTCAGATTAACTATACATTTACCTTTTCAAGTCAAACTGAAGGGCCGTGTCTGAAAATATTTTTTTTCTCACTTTAGTTCAGAATCTGGGCACAAGATGTTTGTTTTCAAATGGCATCTTTCAGTTGAGATGCCTGTTGTTCAAAATCTCTTCAAGCCAGGCATTAAAAAAAAAAAAAAATAGCAAGGTAAAATACAACAATGCATTTAAAATGGAGAGTTAGGTACGGTAGTTTCAGGGTGTTCCCATACCCATCCTAAGAATGATGGGATCCTCCTGCCCTGCACACTTGGCAACCTTGAAAAGTGGCTGTATTTGCATTCCTGTGGCTTTTGCTGGAGTTCCTCCATTGGAGGAGGAATGCTGGGCCAGCCAGGCTGCCAGAAATGTGGTTAACTGGTGTACGCTTGCTTCGTGTTCTGTTCCCTGAGAGGCCTCAAGCAGTGGTAAGGCACACAGTAATTGAAAGCACCATAAAATCCTCCAAGTGAGCATTCATCATGCCATTACATTTCTGGGTGGTCTATGGGCACTTTCAAATGGCCAGAGGACAACAGCCAAGCCCTCCCCAAGCTGTCAACACCATTGTCGCAACAGCCCGGGATGATACTCATATAATCTCTGAAAGAACAGCCAACTGACATCACATCTGACATCTACTTAGCAGGCAGTTTTGGCCTGGCTGCCCAAAGTCTGGTGCAAGGGTCACATGGAACTCCCAAGGTATTACAAATGGGAGAAACAGAGAGTTGAGGTGCAAGTGCTAGTGTGAGTTCCTACCAGTAGATCTCTATCAACCCTTTAAGGAAGTCCAGACAACAAACCAAAACCATGAGTCCTAAAACATTATCTTTATTGTAAGATTTCAGTAACAGAACCTTGCAAGTCTGAAAACACTTTTTTCCCCTCCCCTGCCTTAAGTGCTGGCTTAACAACCAGTTCAGTGATCGTGCGCTTCGCTCCACGCTCGTGCACAGTTTTACAAATACTAACCTTCTGTGTTACCACTTGGGAGTAAGACAGCTGAGGTGTGGCAATCCGCTCTGCTGCGCCAATCAGCTGAGAAGATAAAGGTAAGTAAAATGCAGGGGTAGGTGGGCGGGCCAACCTAATCATCGGAGCAAACCAATTCGCTCCCAACTGATCGTTGGAGCTGCCAGTTCGCCCGAACCGGTCTGAACCAGTAGAATCCCACCCTTGCCTGCCTTTACATTCCAGAGAACTAGGGAAAGTCCCTTCTCAGATGCTTTCTCCAACCTCATCCCTCCTTTGGACTCAGGTGTCTTTTGTCAGACCGTTGTCTAACTGCAGATCTTCCTCTTGTCTCCCAAGGCTACCGGTATTTGCGCAGCCATTGCACAACATGACTCACCCAAGCATTTCAGACCACAAGCAAAGTGCAGCTTTTGACATTTGAAATTTGGGACAGCTATGCCAGAAGGAAATCAGTTTGGTTGCTCAAAGACACTGATGGCATGGGATCAAAGAAAACCAGCTGCATTGAGGAGCACTGCCTAAACCCTATGTGGAAGTGACATAGTGTACCTAGAGATGCAAGGACTATGCAGTTTTGGATGAGGCAGTTGAGTTTGAA